ATATATATATATATATATATATATATATATATATATGGAATATTTAAAAAATTTTGAAAGTAATTTTAACGATTTTTTAAATAATTCCGTTGGTCTTTGTATTTTTTGATAAAAAATTTTTGATAAAAAATTATTGAAAATCACAAAAAAACATTAGAAAATTCCAACAGTTCTCTTATGTGCCTTACCAAGTGATTGCCAACGATCAATCACCCTATCATTCGCATGCAATTCCATTCCTTTGTGACATAAACGAGTCGTACAGATAGGAAAAGCGAGGTATTAAATTACAATCACACAAATAAAGGAAAGCCCAGGTTTCTCTCGCTTTCCCAGCGCGGAGTTTCAAATCAATCGATGTTCACGATCAATGTGTCTGAAGTTTACTCGGGAGATGACGAATGGACGAATGTATCAATCGCTTTTCCGTAATCTCTACGGAACTTTTCAACGATCGCTCTAGTCGCTGAAAACGAGAACGAATCCATGATAATGCGAGTGATCCTTTTACGACGCAGCGATGCGGCTCCTCGCACCACTGTGATCGACACCGCGATAATCAAGGCCCCGCCCGGCAAGGGTTGTCCCCGCTGCGGTGGCGTCGTCTTTGCCGCCGAGCAGGTGCTCGCCAAGGGCCGCGAGTGGCACCGGAAATGCTACAAGTGCCGCGATTGCACCAAGACCCTGGACTCGATCATCGCTTGCGACGGCCCGGACCGTGACGTTTACTGCAAGACCTGTTACGGGAAGAAATGGGGACCGCACGGATATGGATTCGCATGCGGCTCGGGATTCCTCCAGACCGACGGACTCACGTAGGTCTCAATCTCAACGCGGAGAGAAACTTAGCTCGTGGTCCTGCCGGGCGTGTAACCATAAATATAAGTTTACTATAAATACGAGATTTAAATAACCGAGCTTCACTCAATTGCGCCTTGAACAACATTTCGCGGAAATGAATAATTGAATAATTTCATGATTATTATTTAAATATAAGACCGCCATTAATAGACATCGGATTAATTAGCAAAAACTAATTAATCAAATAATTTATATTGATAGAATTACGAGAGAGTGTTTATCATTAAATTCATTAAGAAAATATATGAGAACATTATTTTATCTTTATATAATCTGGTTTGTATATTTTACGATTTTGTTGTACAAATGTGAAGAATATATTTCACAGAGAAAGAAGAATCTGTCTTGGATAAAAATCTTTGGAAAAACATGCTATACAAACGCTTCATATCTATAAATATGATTTAAGAGAAAAATAACAAATACATTTCGGAGAATCTAACAGAAATTGAAAGATGAACGATAATTTAAAGCAAAAATTTTCATTTCAAGCAAAAATAATAAAATCAATCATAAGAGAAAATCTTGTGAATTTTTGAAATGGCGCATACATCTTCATTTGCATATTTTATTATTTGTGACCTATCGGTTTAAGTAAAATTAAACGGCTAAAAATTAAGTTAACATAAATGTCTCCGCGGATCAAGATTTAATACAATATATTGAATTTAATCGAGCAGGATCATCATAGTGATCATAGTTAATTACCCGCAGGGAGGAAGAAATTTCGGCCAGTCGACCTTACTACAATCCTGACACGACCTCGATTAAGGCGCCAGCTGGGCAGGGTTGCCCCCGTTGCGGTGGCATGGTGTTTGCCGCGGAACAACAGCTCGCCAAGGGCACCATGTGGCACAAGAAGTGCTTCAATTGCGCCGAGTGTCACCGACCCTTGGACTCCATGCTGGCATGCGATGGCCCCGACAAGGAGATCCATTGCCGCGCGTGCTACGGAAAGCTCTTCGGGCCCAAAGGTTTCGGATTCGGCCACAAGCCAACTCTCGTCTCGACGAATGGAGATCATGCCCCGTCATAGTAAGTGCATCACGGTGGCTCCCGAGAGTAATTAGTTTCTGAAACACGATGCGAAATACAATAGCGAAAAGTTAGTTTGTTATTAAGGAAACTTTAATGATTGATAGCGATCTTGATAATCAACCTACTTCTCTCATTAGAACTTGCACCCCTCTAGCACCCGAGGCGGTAATCGTGTGAGAGGTAAATTGTACGAATTGTTGAGTATAGTACAGTTTGATGTATACACATAAATTATATTGGAATAGACTATGACTCTTTTTTAAAATTTGTATTTTAACCCGAGAAATTTGATCACACGTAGAACAAATCGAAAAATAAAATTTTTCCACATTGTTTTCTTCTATTTGCACTGCGATAATTGATGTTGATGAAGAAGAATGTGCTTAGTAGATAGTTGCATATAAATCACCTAGGTTGTTTCTCTCAAATCAAATCAGTTTTCGATCTCTTCATGATTCATCACGCGTCAAATTCTCAAACGCTGTTGTTTTCATTTCGTAGCATCGACGCTAAGCCTCAGGTCGGCCAGAAGCGAAACGATGGACACGGTTGCTCACGCTGTGGCTACCCGGTGTACGCTGCCGAGCAGATGATCTCGAAGAACCGTGTGTGGCACAAGCGATGCTTCAACTGTGGCGAGTGCCATCGTTCCCTGGATTCGACGAACTTGAACGATGGCCCGGACGGGGACATCTATTGCCGTGGTTGCTACAACCGGCACTTTGGACCCAAAGGCGTAGGCTTTGGAATGGGCGCGGGCACCCTCACGATGGCCTAATTGATAGGCTTTACCCCCCCTTACACGCCGCTCGAGGAAAAACCCTCGATCCAGTCTTATATATTAATGTAAATACATCTATATATAGAGGCGTCTGAGTATGTATTCGACGACAGACGAACGCGCTGCTCCGGGAATTTCGATTTCTCCTTTCCTAACTTACGACGATTCGATAATGTCGATGACTACATTTTCATTATTGCGAATAGCGCCGTAGTAGAGGATAATGGTGTTTGTTTGACTTTATGGTCGACGGAAATCGACCGTGCACGATGAGCCACTGCAAATTGTTGATAACGTAGCGATATGAAATTGCACACTGATCGTATTACGAATAAATTAATTCTTGATTTAATAATTTATTTATTCGTAATACCGAGATATAAACTTGTCGTTTTAATAATTGGCAAAAATCATGATACTGTCAGCGATGCAGTATCACGCTCTTCATCTAGAAATGAAGCTTCGACATTAAAGAGATTAAAAAATGCGTTTAGACATTTAAAAAGAAAAAAAATATCATTTTTTTTATATATCAATTTTAAGCTTAATTAATATGATATTATTTAATAAATATATTGAATATAAAATTTTTTTTGCTTTGAACTTTAGAGAGAAGATTGACTTTTGCCATTATTAAAATCTGTCTTTATTCGTTCGCAAGTTATCGACAACATGCGGATTTATTCTTGCAGTCAATTAGATCCATTCACGCTCAACTGTTATAATTTGCACGGATTGCTATGAAAACTTTACAAGATTTGCAAATATGTTGCAAAGATATAAATTAATATACGATTAAATGCAGTGCGATTTCATTCATTACATAATTTCTATTGCATTTTCATACAATTTTCATAGCGATCTGAGCGATCCTCGATGACGATACTACGCGCAAACGAGTAATCTGATGACGAGCAATTACGAATGTACGAAACTTTCGTTATCTTTTTTCTTTTTCATTCTTGATTGGGAAATAGGAGATTACGACTCGATAATCGATCCGCGAGATGTCAGACTGAGAGTTGTAAAAACTGGCAAATTAAGTATCTCTGAATTTCTGTTTCAGCTGAATTTATTGCTCAAGATTTTTACTTTTCTTTTGAAAGTGGGAAATTTTTCTGAATAATTTCTGATTTCTATAGTACTTCTATTTATTTCTATACTCGTTGAACAAAAACTTAATTTGAGATTTGAGATTTTTTTTTATTATCTCCGAGTTAGATTGTTAAGATATTTATTTTTAATATTTTTTATTTTTTTTAAATAAAAAATTCGGAGATTTTATATTTATATAGAAAGCTCAAGAAGTGGAGATATTTTCAATAAATAGAATATATTTCGGCTCGTTGACGACGAAAATTTCGAACCAGATTGTTTTACGATTGTATTACTGATAGTGCTCATTATCTAACATTTTTTTATCGTTGGCATTGCTCAAGATTAAGCATATTAGATAATGCTCTCTTCTCTTCTCTTTATTAGAAAGAAGAATTGCGAAACAGAATGCATCGTGGAAATTAAAGATGCAGACAGCTTTTTAACTGTTTCGCAGATCGAAATTACGCAGTAATAGTAAAAACTCTATTACGGACAAACACTGTTTTTGGATAAATTTTTAACTTCAAGCAAAGATTTTAATATTTACAGCATAAACATAATTAAACATCTGACATCGATTGCAGCGCATATTCGCGGACGATATAAATGGATAAGAATACGAATAAAAATCTATACAACCGGGCAACGACCAGCAGCAACGATGTAACCGACGACTAAGACGAGAAACTAATT